GCATGCTAGTTCCCTAGGACAGCAGACAGCACTGAATAATTTGCCTTGGCTCGAGCATTTGCTACATGGATCTGGTCAACGCTTACACAGGAGGGCCTTGTTATGTCTACCAGGTGTAGGTTGGCGCAAAGCTCGTGGTGGTCATAAGTTGACTTGGTAACGGGAAATGAAGTTACTCACCACCAAAACGGGTGTGGTTGGTCCGTCTCGTCTTCCGTGCTGGAGTCCACGTGACTCGCCTTGTGCTTGGCACGAGACTTTAGAAGATCTTGCTCGCAACCGGCACAAGTAGCGCGTCTGCTGCCGTCTCCTAATTGGATTACCTGTTTAAAGTGTGTGGTGCTGCGTTATTTGCGGGGTGCTGGTTGATTATGACGCGTGGCAGTGAACGCCCTCAGTGGAGCTTTCCTGCCGGCGCCAACTTTAATTTGCACCATAGCCAGCTGTTTGTGACGGTATTTTTTCTACACAAGGTGTAGGAGCCTTGACCTTGAATGTTTGCTTAGGACATTAAGGTTTTCCAGTTAGTCCTTCGTCTATCCCTTTTATTAATCTTTATTTTATAGGTCATCATGGTTGTATGGCAGCAAAGTACCAGTTCAAATGGCTGGTGTACCGTTTCTGTTGTTGTTGTGGTTGGCAAGTTAATTAGCAATCGGTTTCGATATAGGTTGCCATGCAGAAACTATTAACGTCCGCGCTGACATTTTTCCTCTCCCACCTGAAGGGTTGCCGCTGACGTAAGCAGGAAGGGTTTAAAGAAAAAGACCGCACCTCCTTAAGATCTCTCACAAGTGGTATTAAAGAATAACTGCAGTGTCTTAATAAAATGTATGTCTAGTCTGTTCTTGGGAACGTCAGTTGTCGTGTACTCTGGATTATGTTATAAACGATTGCCGGAGTTACTCGATGTTCGCCCTACTTTGATGTTAACGTAGAGGTTATGAGGTAGAGAAATTGCATCAAGTTCTGCAAATGGAAAACTACTACAGCTCCAGAGTCTCTCTGTGCCCAATTTCTGGAATCTGCTGAACCACTGCCTCCTGTTGACTGTGCAACTGTAAACAATCTACTGAAACACCTACGTTCCGATAAAGCTAGTGGGACAGACAGGCTACTTCCTATTTATATTAAAAGAAAATGACGATCGTTTGGCAACACCTCTTGCGAGTATATACCCAGGTTGTATGCAGCAGCACAAAATAGCCGAGGGCTGGAGAATTGTCATCATTACACCAGTACCGATAAAAGAACCAACAAGTATTGATCCATCGCGTACACTTCCTTTGCCTTGAAGGTTCTGGAGAATGTCATGCTCAAAATGACGCCGTCCAGAACACGCATTAAGGACACCCTCCGGTTCTCCCATTGCACTTCGGGTTCTACCGTAGATGCTGTGGCCTACCTCGTACATTCTGTACTGTCATCTCTTGGCAATAGGATGGCAGTATCAAGCATAGGTTTGCTTGGCTGCAGCATTGCCATTACCTGTGTAGACCGCAAATTACTGCTTGAAGACCCACTTAATCAAGGAGTGCATCATTCCATTGTCCATTAAATGAGTGATTATTTTGCTGAGCGCACGCAGATCCTCCAACTCATTGGCTGAGGTTCTTCTTCACTACTCTTTAAGGTAGGTGTCTTTCAGGAAGCAATTCTGCCTCCTGTTCTCATTTCTACTTACGTCAGCTCTATGCCAGCTCCAACTGAATCGACCCTGATATAATATGCAGCCGAAATCGTCTTGAGCATCAATGAGGAAAGCTCCGACTGTTAATTCAGACTACAAGCGCTTCTGAACGCTCCTAGTGACTAATCCAAATCTCGTGACCTGTCCCTTAATGCTTCAAAGTGACACAACCTTCATCTTTTCTTAAACAAAGGAGCTCTTTACCTTGTGCAACAAGTCATATATTGATGGCGACGGGTTACAGTCTTCCGTATCCGTAAAATATCTGGGTGTGCAGTTGAGTTGCCATTTATCTTGGAAGCTTCAAGTAAATAAAATTTCATAAAACTCAAAAGACTGTCATTCTATACATCTTGGAGCATCACCTTCCGCGTGACTTTATCGTTAGCTATGTCAAATTCTGTTTTATTTCTCCTTGGAAGTACCGTTCCCCCGTGATCTATCCCGGTCTCTGGGCAAAGCAGTTTAATTTACTCGTCAGGTTTTAATGTACTCAACCCGAGGTAGCAGTGTTCGGATAGCTAGTTTTACCAACATTCTTAGTTCTCACTCCTACATCACGATTCGTTCAAAAGAAGGATATGATGTTGATGAAAAGCGACGAAGCAGAGGAGCGAGTGCATATTACTTACTAGAGAACGGGCACTGATGAACACCAGTTTGAATGTACCAACTTATGAGGCGTAATCCATGCGCTGACCTATTATAAGGTTTAAGCGCCCCACTATTCTTCGTGGACTATCAAGCGTTAAGTGACTAGAGGCAGTGGAGTTTGGCACATGGGATTTAGGAAAAAGCATGTGGCTTGGTTCGCTCAATGTGAAAAAGTGTGCTCTCCAACAGAGAACATCGGAGTTAGTTGCCAAAGGTTTGCTGCGGCTGATGTGTTTTCGTACAGCTTTTACCCACCTGGTTTAATCCGTGCACGGAGTGGCATCTCTCGGAGTGTGGTGGTGAATCCCGCATACCTAGCGATTCGAAGGATGACATGACGTTTACCACTTATAATGGTGGCACGGTGTTACTGACTTATGTCACCTCGAAACTGGGCTCGCAGTGCTTGTCATGTGTCGGTTTTGTAATGGTTCGTAGTTGGAGTGGGCTGAGATTGTTCACCCACTGGTAGCACACCTGCTGCGGTCTGCCCAAATAAACAATGAAAGCACGTTTAGTGTGAGGTTACCCTGCGGCTATAGGGTACTCAGCAATCGGCAGAGAGAACGGTGAGTTTTCGTTGCGTATTAGCCCGCTGTCCTTTAAACTGTATGTCGCTGCGTTCCTGTCCGTTTGTGTTACATTAAAGCAAAGCCCATTAACTGTTACATCGGTTTTACTGTTTTTAGACAATAGTCATAGCCGCTTTCTCAAAGTCGCTTTATTTTGTTTCATTTTTATGGTTATATACCAATTTTCTACTCAACTTTTGTATTGTTTAATCATAGTATGTTGAATAAAGTATTCCATCAACACCGTTCAAAAAGAATAACTAAAACACGCCGCCAACGACGTCAGTGCGTCTGGCGCAACTCAAATACGACACAGCAAAATGTCGCTCGTGGATCTACTAGCAAAGGCTTTAAAAACCTTCTCGTTTTTGAAAGCAAGGTAAGCTCGCTGAAAGAAAAGCTTACGGTCATTATGACGCTACTGAATAAAGTCGTAAGAGCGCTGCTTAGGTGCGGAGTCCGAAAATAGTCGTGTCGCGTCGTCCTTCCTGGATATGGGAAAGCAAATGTTGTTGGTATCCCAATGATATAATTTGAGAGGCGCCCGAAAGTACACTACGAGAGTTGGGCAGGAAGATTGCACAGGGAAAACACAGGTGGTAGTTGGCTAGATGGTATAAGCCAGAGTTCAAAGCAAGTTGTCCAGTGATTGTATGCACATCAATAGCTTTTGAATGATGTGGTTAGAAAGTCACATGATTGTGGCTAGTATCTTCCCTGTGCGAAGAGAGATAAGCTAAAAATAGCAAAATAAGTTAAAGCTACCGCACACCTTCCCACCAATGCGGTAGCCGCACGGTAATAAGCGACCAGGAAGAAAAAACCCGGTGGGAATTGCTGGGAAAACTAACCTCTACCTGATATATTGTCGCTCAAAACGCCCGAGGCTGAGGCACCGGGGGAATGCAGGTTAAAGTTTTTAGCTAGGATACAGTGAAAATATGAGAGCAAGATGTTGTAGTGCAACAAGGATGTCTAAGTTGCAGGTGTTATTCGGCGCAATCCTTCTGTCCTTTGTCGACATGAGAAAATTCTTATTCGTGCTAAGTTTGTTCTTTTCTCTCCTGGCAAACACTGGAAAGCAACAAGCAGGAAAGAAAACTAGCAGCAGGTAGTAAAACGCGATAGACAGCACAGCAAGTTGTTATTCTTAAGATGCCTAATACGCTAGACGGTCTGGAAAATGAACCGTTCTACCTGACCGTGTTTGCCGCGTACTAGTCTCTTTTGGCTTAGCTTCAGATGTTGATGACTGAGGATCCTTTTCGAAGTGCTTTGATGACTCTTGCGTACATATAGTGATTTTAGAACCTGTCGATTGTTGTTCACAAGGTTGTTCGATATACGCTGGCCTGAGTAGGTCTACCAAAACTACATCGTTTTTACCGTTTCCGTTGATCATATGATGTTTTGCTGTTCTAGCGATCAGCTCAAATGGCCCCTCGTACGGTGGATGTAGAGGCCTGTGGACTGCATCGTTTCGTAGCCACACATGTGAACAAGTTGTCAGATATTTTGGTATGTAACACCTGTTAGTTTGTGCGCGTGTGGCAGTAAAATGCATGGATGAACGTAAGTGATGAACAAAGTTTGAGGGATCTAGAGCGTCGACGTCGATTTGTTGAACGAGGTCAGCCGGGAGCTTTAGCGTGGTACCGTATACCAGCTCCGCGGCATAGCAATCTAAGTCAGCTTTAAACGTCGTTCGTAGACTTACTAAAACCAGCGGTAAGTTTTCTGTCCAACGGGTAGTTTCAGAACATACCATTAAAGATGTTTTGAGGTGGCGGTGAAAAAGTTCGACTAACCCGTTCGCTGTTAGATGTTACGCAGTCGTTCTTATTCGTTTAGCTCCGAGGATAGTAGTGAGGTCTCCAAAGTGGGTTGATTCAAATTGCGCATCGCGATCCGTTGTTATGGTGGATGGTGTAAAAAGTCGGTCCTTAAGGGACAAAACGTATATTCTGCAAACAAAAGGACCAGGCGAAAACGCAGTCAGAGGGCGATTGAAACATATCGGTGTATACAGCTAGTTGGATCCATACTTAACGACCTTTGTGAATGCATGACATTTTTCCTTTGATTCAGGCAAACAAACTCACTCCAATGCGTCCAACTGTTGGCCAATCAACGTGCATGCGAGAAACGTGTGAACGTCCAATCGACTGCCGTCTTTCCTTGCGGCAGCCTAACGGCTTCCTTGCTCCCGCCCCCCCCCCCGAGGGCGTCGGCGAGGGAGCTGCCGCGCCCTTCCGCGTCCCGGGGAGCCTGGTAGCCGCGCGGTCCCCCCCCCCCGCGGCGTCTTCCCCAGGGGCTCGTGGTCCCCCACCCCCCCGGCCCGCCGGCCTTCGGCCGCGTGACTCGCGGAGGCCCACCCGGGGGCCGCGCCCTACCGGTCGCCCCTCGCCCCCGCAAAACAATAAATCACAACAAACCACACAGTCGTCTCCCCCCCCCCCCCCCCCCCCCCCCCCCCCCCAACGACGCGCGCGCGGCTCCCGCCTCCACCCCGTCGCCCCTACCGCCCCCCCCCCCCCCCCTGCTTGCGCCCCCCTCGGCCCACCCCCCCAGGGGGTGAACCCCGCGGCCCCCCCCCCCCCGGGCGCCCCCCCCCCCCCCCCCCCCCCCCCCCCCCCCCCCCCCCCCCCCCCCCCCCGCCGATGCGGGGCATGCCCGGCTCTGTCTCTCTTGTCAACCCCCCCCCCCCCCTCGCTGCCGCGGCCCGCCCGCCGGCCTTCACTGGGGGTTCGGCGCCTCATATCCCCCCCCCCCCCCCCCCCCCCCCCCCCCCTTTTCCCTTTCTTTCCCCCCCTTCTCACCTCCCCCCCCCCCCCCCACCACCCGGCCCCTCCCCCGGTCCCCCCCCCGCCGGCCTCCCCCCCCCCCCCCCCCCCCCCCCGCTGGGCCCCTTCCTGCCCGCTTGTAGGGTGCCCCCCCCCCCCCTGGGGGTCGCCCCCCAGCTGGGACCCACGGGACGGGCCCCCCCCCCCCTCCCCTCCCCCGCCCCGTGGCAACCCAACACCAACGCGCCTGAGGCACATGTTAGCGTGGAGTCCGCAGGGGCGGGGGACCCCCCCCCCGGTCGGGGTTCATGTGCTCTGCATAGACGGGGTGCACGGGCTCCTCAGGGCTAACGGCCCGCTCGGAACCGCCACCCCCCCCTTGGGGGGTGGGGGGGTATGTCGCTATGTTCGGGCCCCCGGCCCGCCCTCCCCCCCTGGAGCCTCCCGCCTCCCCCCGCCACCGGCGCGGCTCTCCGCACTCCCCCCCCCACTTCGCCCAGTGACCCGGCGTGCCAGGGCCCCGCCAGCAGGGCCACTTAGGTCGGCTCGCGGCACCCCCCCGCCGCCCCCCCCCCCGCACCCCCCACACCCCCCTTAGTCCTCCCCCCCCCCCCCCCCCCCCCTCCCCCCAAGACCCCTCGAGCCAGTCTCGTACCCCGTGTGGTGACCACCCCTGACGCCCCCCCCCCCCCCCGGCCC